TGTCATCGTTTCCTGTCATCATGAAGGAAAAAAGATTTTGGAATATGCATGAAATAAATTGAAAAAATGAGTTTACCTTCCCTAAATCGAGCTTTTCGTTTTTACGAACATTTAGTAATTTTGATAGATGCCCGATTTCGTTCTTAGTGCTTTTGGAAATCCCAGATCACTTGAAGCAGATTTTCTAAGATGTTAATTTGGCCTTGAAGCTGTAGAAAGATCTATATAAAATTGAATTATCAATTAAATGCAATTTTAACTACATATATACACTAGTTAAGTGTAGCAGTGTATTTCATAAATGAGTCAAAATTTCGTTCACATTCTTAGAAATTATACAAAATGATTTTTTTAAATGTAAGTGGATGCAAAGTCATCCATTAATGTCATTTATATCATGGTTGTGTATAATTTAATTAGTGGTTTCGATGTCGGTATGTACTCGGGTTGAGAGCTAATGACAATCTTTGAAAACCTTGGCCGATCGTTTCGGACTTCTGTGAGTTCAACAGTATGATAGAGTTTTTCACCTTTTGTAATTCGAAACTGGATTATATTGGTGTACGTCCGTCCGTCTATTAAGCTTTGGGTTACCCATCTCTTATCCGCAACTCCTCTTAAACCACTGATTGAAATTTAATGAGACTTTCACAGAATCTTTGTTAAGACAGCGGAACATTAACTGGCAAATTTGGAAATAGGCAGCTTGTGTCATTTCCATTTGTTACAGTCAAAACATTTAATGATAGACAAGGGAATGGGCGGGTACAATTCGACACGGACGTCTGAGAAAACATTGGATTGAAATCCATTTTCAATCCACCTCAGCTACGCTTAAGAATGCACGGTGTTAATGATGGGCCTAGAAAACAAATAATTTCAATTTCGAATTGAATTTTGAAATTTATATAAATCAAAATTTTCTGTCCAGTGTTTTAAAAGAAACAATGATAAGGGAACAAATATTTGATTTCTGTCTGGTATGTGTATGTGTGTGCTGGGGGGGGGGGGGGGTGAACGATCTTGGAAATAGATAAGAAAGTTTTCTTTTAGTTTGGACAACCCCTCCCTGTTTTCGTTTTTGAACATTTTTCAGCGAAGACAAAACTAAAAAAAAGCCCCTGTCTTCCTAGAAATAAATATGTTCTGTAGTGTGAAGGCATGATCTGACTCGACAATTTTTGACAGCCCCCTCCCCTTCTAGAATAAAATGGCCGTCCACTGAAAAAATAAACTCTGTCTTCTATTACGCAAAACATGGACACTGCCATTCTTTCTATAACATTGAAAGGTACCAATCTTTTATCCGCAACTCCTCCTATACCACTGGATAAAATCAAATGTTACTTTCATAGATTCTTTATTATATAATACCATTGTGCAATTTTTATTTTACTTTTTGATCTGACACTTATTTCGGGTCTCCCAGTGCAAAACATGGACTTTGCCATTATAATCACATAGGAGGCGGGGGGGGGTGTATCATTTAGAGAGCTCAGTGCTCACAGTACCTCTAGTTTTAATCTCAATTCCTCCCATTTAATTCTGTAGAACCATAGCAGTGTAAGCTGACATGTTTTAAATTTAAATAAATATGTTCAAGTAAATTTTCATGTATCAGTTCAAACGTTTACACACTTATCAAAATGACACTGTACAGATACAGTCTTGAAGTTAAGCGGAAAAAGTGCTTTGGATTTTAGGTGCAAAATGTTAACAAATGAATGGTACGTGTGAAAAGGTCTGTCCCTATTAGCTGACAAGTTTTCTTTCGAAGTGTTTCCCATTACAGGAAATTTATCTGTAAGTGACAATCCTCGGAACAATACTTTAAAACAATAAATAAGAGCAGAGAACGATAGTATGTTCCGCTGCTAACCTCCAAGTCAATTTTCAAAAAGTTAACATGAACTGCCATATCTTAATGCTTTATGTATTAATCTTGAACAACTTCATCATCAATGTGGTTCTTGGTCAATATTATCTAAATTAACTTCAAAACATTGCTACACAATGAAGACACCGGAAGTTCCAACTTGTCCTGTAAGCCAAACAATCCCTGATGAACCAAAGCTCAGACCAACCCTGGTGTTACCTGTCACCTCCCGTGAAAAAAAAAAAAAAAAAAACAAAAAAAAAAAAAAAAAACTTTTTTACTGGTATTATGAATTGTTATTTAGCAAATGCATGTTTTTGTTGTTTCACGGGAGAGGGGGAACTGTATTCATCGAAAGTGGCCATTTTATGACGAGTTTCAAACTAAAGGATATGCAAACGTAAACTTTTATCAAACGAATCAGATATAATTAGTTTTAGATGTTTATCAAACGGAAAGATTAAAAGGTCATTTATCCACATCCTCTAGTATTTCAAAATATGGTTTTAAAGTCTGATTTCAATGGGAAAAAATATCATACTGTAGAAGTTCGAAGTTGCGTTTGGAAGTTCAACGTAAATCACTTGGAATTCTTCGTTTGAAATTTCCGAATCACCATTCAGAGTATTGGAACAAATTTTCTAATGGCTCCAAATGACTTTCAAGTTACTCCCAAGTTGTTTCCAAATGACCAAACCTCAATCAAGCATATTTTTCTAGAAATTTCCAAATGATTTTCAAGTTGCTTCCAAATTACTTCCGAATGACTGAAACCAATTTCAACAAATCAAAGCAAGATTTCATTAGCTTATATTTAAACATATTGTTCAGATAACAAACAACCAGCGATTTGAAAACATGTTCAATACAAAACGCCTTTCTTGCAGCATTTAATGATATCTTTCATTGTATATGGAAAAGACAAACCCTCCTGGTAAAATATGATTCTGTAAAACTGTTTTAATTAAAATGTTCACTGATATTTGTTTCTGCGAAATTCAAATCCAAGGCACAATTAAAGAATGCCGGTAATCTACAGAAGGAATAAAATGATCGAAATGACAAACAACTGTATTGACACTTTTCACACGCTTTCAGCAATAATCAGTCTGTTACGGTCTTACTGTTTTTCCAAGAGAAGAATAAGATATTGGAGGTGTCACATTCTTAAAAGATGTAAATTATCTCCTTTAAATATATGAACTAAGTTTCATCTCTGCACTTCCAAATGGTTCCATATAGATTCCAAATTCATTTCTGAATCAGTTTCTTCCGAATAAAATTCTTCCAAATGACTTGGATGTACTTGGAATTCAAAATGCTTCCACATACATGTACATGTATTTCCAAGGTATTCCAAGTGACTTCCGAATGAGAATTGACGGGAATTTGGAACTTCTACACACGGGGCTGAGTGCTATCAATCAATTACTAACAAATTCAACTTTGCATAAAAAGATTCAAAGGCAAATATTTCGATCAAGCTAAATAATAAGTGTGTAAAATGTAAGCAGGAACCGGAAGTTAGCATTTGCTGTCCTTTTTAGATCTTAATAATTCATTAATAAGCTTATTTTGGAAGACTGGGAAAATTATTGTTCATCGTAGCAACATGTTCACAAAAAATACATACCATGTGCGGATCCAGGAATTTGGGAGGTCCACAACAACTGAAGAAGATGTCAAACTTGTGGGGGGGGGGGGGGTTGTCCAGGGTCATTCTTATTTTTTTGTTAAGTTTACTTAGAATATTTTAACTCTGAAATCACCACCAACTCCTCCTACTTCTTGTTCTGCCCACGAGTACTAGTAATTTATAAGTAGAGCAAAATAACAATTTTAAAAATGCCCATAAAAGAAGCAAGAGAAGGAAAAAAAAAACACTGAAAACTACCCAAACTCGACTAAGTGTAGGAAATCGAGAGCACTGAATTATGCACCATTGATTTTTCCAAAAAGCCACAAATATGATGATGCCAAGTATAATTCACCTTGGACAAAATATATATATATCACACTAGCGGATTTAGAGGGGGAGGGGGCCCAGGCCTCCGGACCTATACATAAGATTTAATAAATCAATTTTTTGGTGTGGCTGTGGGCCCCTTCCCCGACACCAAACTAGTCGCCGCTTTCAAGATTAATGGATCCGCCACTGTACCACCTATATGTACCAATGACAAATGTTTATTTTGTGCTAAATTCCTTCATAGAAATACACATAGTTTTAAAATCTTTTTTACGTTTACATGGTAGACTTTACTTTTGTTCAATTAATACACTAATCCGAAATACACATAGAAATTTAAATGGTGTCCATTTCACTTATAAGATATTGTTCGAGGTATATGGTCATTGTTTGTCTTATGCATTTGAATCAAAATTTTGCTTTTGACCTACAGTAGGACAATTTTGAAACTACGAAACACCGACAAACAATCAACTGATCAGTTTTGAACTTTTTTCCCCTTGGAATTGGAGTTAAAATGAGGGAAATTGGAATTTTACCCGTATCAGGGATAGGTTTGCTCATCTTCTTGTTGTGTACATGTAAGTTATTTTTATAAATTTTTACTAAATTTTCAATTCTCAAATTTCCAATTCTCCGTATCATTTTTAAGTTGTAAAATAAATTTCAATATTGGGCTAATTTTGTATTTTGAAGTATCTATACTATGTTTTATGTCCATTTTATTAAGTTATTAAGTCAGCCCGGACGAAGTCGGAGAGACATATTGCTATTGTTCGACCAATAACGCTGTCCGCACAATTTCTCAAAGATGGCTCTGTAAATCTTGATGAAACTCCACTGTCATAATGATCACTAATTAAAGATAAGGATTTTTTTAAGGATGTTGTAGACCTTACATTTGTACATGAAAGACTAGAGATCCAAGGCTTTAATATTTTGAATATACATTGCTACATGTACGCATGTATTCATACATATGTACTATACTTTGGGGGAAACCATAATCTCAGGCTTTTTTTAAAGAATTGTTTGTTTGCTCATCTGAGATGAAAGCTCAAGTGAGCTTTTCTGATCTGTCTGATTGTCTATCGCTCTGTTAACTTTACAAAACTTCGACTTCTTCTCAGAACTACTTGGCCAATTTTTACCAAAATGGCACAAATCATCCTTGGGTAAAGGGGATTCTAAATTGTACAAATACAGGGCCAAGTTTTTTCCAAGGGGAGATGATCAACAAAAGGCAAAAACGGGTGTGGTAATCAAAAAATCTTCTTCTAAAGAACCACCGGGCCAGAGGATTGAAACTTATATGAAAGCTTCCTGAAACTTATGTGAAAGCTTTCTGAGGTAGTATGGATTCTAAATTGTTCAAATCATGGGCCTCGGAGGTAGATTGGGGCCACAATAGGTGGTCACATTTATACATTGAAATACATAGGACACATTCTTAAAAAAAATCTTTTTCTCAAGTACCACTGGGCCAGAAGAGATGAAAATAAGGTGGAAGCTTTCTGAAGTAGTGGATTCTAAATTGTTCAAATCATGGCCCCCGGAGGTAGGGTGAGGCCACAATAGGGGATCAAAAGTCTGCATTGGACATTATAGGAAATACATTTTAAAAATTTTCTCAAAAAACAAAAGCGCGTATTACTTATGCAAACATTCTCAAGTTGAATGGATTTATTTTTTTTTAAATTATGCACTGTTGGTTAGAGTTAAGCTTAAATAGGGATCACATTTTACATAATGCATGTATACCAGAAAGAAATTCTTTTCCATAACTACAAGGCTAGTTTAATCATAAAGCTATTGAAGCATCCCAATGTTGTGTGGATTCAGGTAACCTTAGAATGGGACTATAATATGGGATCACAACTCTTCATAGCAATATAAAAATTTCTTAGGAAATCTGAAAAGAACAGCAGGGCTTAAGATTCTCAGGTGAGCGTTGTGGCCCATGGGTTTCTTTTCATTATTTTTCTTCTCGATAAATATGGCCTTCATATACACCTTTCATTTAAAAATACTTAAGTTGCTGAACACATCACAACCTTGCCCCCTATTGTTTTCAAATTTTTTGAATGGACAATACATTGATATCAAACTAACTTTTGCCCTTTCTTCACTCAATGCTACATTTAAGCAAGGTATATATTATTTACAGGCAACCTATAGCTATATGTTCAACAGAACACTCTAGTTTCAGATTATTTCACGTGATCATATTCAATCATTGCATTTGAAATGAATAGACGTTAATAGAACATTTCCGTTTCACAGATTTCCAGACAGTATCCGGTTCCTACTGTTACTATTCCTCCTATTATTCCTATTACTACTGCTATTATACCACTACTTATACCTATACCACGTGAGTATTGATATATCAATATCATTAAGTAGCAAGTAAAGTTACGTGAAAAAAATCCTTGGACTCAATATCTTTGATGAAAGACTCATTGGAATACATTCATAATTTTCAAGTGTTTAAACCAGATACTTTTTAACTATCTTACATGTACATGCGCCTAAAAATACTTGATTTTGCACTCGAAGTATATCAATTATATCAATTATATATATATAGGATCTCCCATGATTTGTAGTTGGATATGATTTTTATCCAACGAGTTGTGTGTTATTTATCCCCGAGCCTTGGCGAGGGGATAAAAAACACACAACGAGTTGGATAAAAGTCATATCCAACTACAAATCATGGGAGATTCTTTTTATCCCATGTTTAATACTTCACAACCAATGTTTTACACTGTTTTATATAGGACTCCACTTTATTTTACTTCATCACGCTAACGCAAAAACCATTGTGACGTCACAACTGTGGGTTATGAAAAATTTATCCAATGAGTCATATCCACGGGATAAAGGGGTAAACATGGGATAAATATATATATATATATATATATATATATAGAGAGAGAGAGAGAGAGAGAGAGAGAGAGAGAGAGAGAGAGAGAGAGAGAGAGAGAGAGAATACAAATATAGCTCTTTCATGAGGTCCATCCATAGATATAATGACTTCACAGAAAAGACAAAACAAAATTTGAATATAATAGGAACAAGCCAAAAATGTTCTCTCTTGTCTTTTTTAACAGATCCAAATAGCTGCTTACTGGGATTGTGTTTCCTTTATACTGATAGAGTCATTTAGGGAATTAACTAATTTAAACCTGTAAATATGCCAAAAAAGAAAACATATCTAAAATGTTTTAATATAAAGTAGATCCTTATTCAAGCCTTGTTACATCTTACCAATTATGTAGAGTTGAAATATATATATCTTTTTTATCAGAACATCAAGTCATACATTGTATTAGCTATTGTGAAGTCAGCACTATTGTTGTTTTATAGAAGATTATTTCCAGTTTTAGAAACATCAAGTAGATATGCATTTCAGAATCTTTAAATAGTAACACAGGTCTATATGCTGTTATATACTTGATCATATGATCAAGTTTGAGCCAATCAGAGAGCTTGGAATACACGAGAAAAATGATATATATATATAATTATATAGTGGAATCATTTTAATTCGTGGGGGTCAATGTTCGTGGGCAGGCAAAATTTTACTTGTCCATTGGGATATAATTTGGGTTACTCGTTTATAAGATTCAATGAATCAATATGTTTACAAAATAGACGTTCGTGGGGATGTAAATTCGTGGGTAAGGGTGACCCACGAAATCCAAGAACATTAGTCCCCCACGACCAATCATGATGATATTAAATTAGTAAAATATGGACTGCACAGAACTTTTTAACTTTTATGAATCGATTTTCCACTCTCGAAATCTCTTTCACAACTCAAGTATCACATGCATAGGCAACGTTATTTACCTCGAATATTTGCCAAATAATACACATATCAAAGTCCAAATTTGGATGGATAAGATGTAATTGATGCAAACTAATGGTGAACATTGGATATTTAAAGTTAGTTGAGATTATCACGAATTCCAGTCGGCAATTCTGTTTTCAATCAGCGTTTTCGCTCTACCAGCCCTTGCTTCAAAACAAATATCGTCGTTAATCGACAATTCTTGCATTTTATAAGGGTATAAAATAAAAGAAAAATAAAATGCTCATGGAATCACATAAGATTCTTATATTTTAGTTAAAATTTCAATTATTGCCTGCATCGGGTCAACTTACCATCTGTGTATTGAAATTATTCGTATCAAATGCATAACCGGAAATCGATCTCTTTTGATTATTATACATAATTGCTGGTTATGCAACTGATCGATTAGCAGGCGTGACTCTTGTTCCTATTCTTTATTTTTTTTTAATTTTTACTCTCTCTCTCTGTGTGTGGTTTTCTCTTTCTCTTTGTATGTGTGCATGTGTTTATGTGATCCTGTGTAATTTAGTAATCCTTCCAGCTTTTTCACTTTTCAATCTCATGAAGGAAACTCAGTATAAGTGCCCTTGCAACTCTTTATTTATGAAATAATTCATTTTTTTTAACATGTGTATCATGTTGCTTTTTCCGTAACAGAGGCGGCGAGGTGATTGGGGGTGCGATTGCTGGGGTTATCTTTGTTACGGCAGTGGTGGTCGTAATAGTCATTATAGTATGCAAGAAACAAGCGGCGAATCGAGCACGTGTGATTAATACCACACCAAGCACTACAGTTACCACCGTGCACCAACCACCACCACCAGCAGGTGACGTTATACATTTCTTTCTGAGAACATTTACAAATAACTTAGAGCAAAAAACTTTTTTTTTCTTCCTAATTTGCAAGACATTGTTTTCTTAAATACATGTATTCAGTACAAATAATGCCCCTCTTTCTCCAACCAAAAATGTTATTAATGATATTGATTTTAACTTTTCAGGTGGATATGGGTACGGTGGTCCCGAAATGTCCCAACCACCCAACCCGAATGCTGGTTATCCCCCTCCCCCAGCTACCTATCCTCCCCCTCCCGGCCCGGGGGCTGGCTACCCACCTCCAGCTTATCCTCCACAGAAATTCTAGACCAACAGACAGAAACTACTGAAGAAGCACTGGGTTTCAGGAAATACTTTATCCCTTTATAATTTTCTATGTTCTAAATCAAAAGCTTCATATTTTGTCTTTGAATTATGTAAATCACTTTATATTCGCGATAACTTTATTCTCGCCTAATTACGCGTCTGTCTGTTCTCAAATATTTTATTCTCGCGTATATTTGTTATGTTAAGGATTTAAAAACACACACACACACACTCACACACACACACACACACACACACACAAATTCCACAGTTCGCGAAAATTTTGTTTCCCTTATAGATAACAATTAGCCTCTAGTTATCCCGAACAAATAAAGTGTGCGAAAATATAGTGATCTGCTGTTCCTTTATCTTATTTTGTTTTTGTCAGAGTTTAACCAGTTAAGAAAGTTTCATGGTTTTTATGTATGTTAGATTTGTTTTGTTCTTTTTTCTTGTTTCATAAATAATTTATCAACAGTCCTGCATTTCGATGTTTTGTGCTGTTTATATATTATTTGTGCATTAATTTATCAAACTTGTTTTGATATACTTTCTAAGGGTTGTTCCTAAGATGCAGTGGCTGGGGAATTTCCCCGCCTATAATGACGTTATCCCCCGGCTACTCTAGTATCCCCCTCAACCCCTTGTAAGGGGAGGATCCCAGACCCCCTTCTACCTTCATAATGTCCCCTCCTGTTTCAATTCTTAGGAACAACCCTGCTTTCTAGTTTATATGAACAAATTGTTTTAATAATTCAGTTTACCTTACTTAAATTGAGCTCTTCATTTTTACAAAATAAGTGTTAGTAATTTTCATACATGCCTGATTTTGGTTGGGTGCGTTAATTTATTGATTGATTTTTAAGTTTTTTACGTCCCATTCCTACCCCGATTGGATTTAATGCTTTGAGAAAAATGCCAAACACTTTAAACATATTTTTCTGACGTTTCAATGTCCGCGAAGCTATAGAAAAATCCAATGCATGTAAAATTGTATCAAAAATTAAATGCAATGTTTACTACAGTATACACTAAATAAGTGTATAAATTATGAAGGGTAGTAGTGTTCAAAAATCCAGACTTGTAAGTTTCTATATCAAAACTTGCAATCACATCAGTTTCATAGTCTACATATGGAAGTAGGTAATTCCGACATCCTTGCATGTAGTTCTGAACATACATGTACAACTGTGTTGATTTTGAGTCTACTCTATACTATGAATGTGTGTTATTTTTGATGTTCTAAACTTTGTTTTCCGGTATCTATATTGCCGCACTTTAAATAAAAACCGAAGACAATTCACAAGTCTACAAATGTAAAGTCTACACGTTTGTCAAATTTTGATAATGAGAAACGATGGAGGGGTATCAGTGCCACAATTCTTTTTAAATATTTTATTTTCTATTTTTACAAAACAAATCGGGAGCAGAGCAAACACGGACCTCCAAAAATATCAGAGGTGGGATAAGGTGCCACGGAGAAGTGAGCATCCCCTGCCGACCGGTCACACCCGCCGTGTGCTCCTTATCATGATCGGCAAATAACGGAAAATCCGTCAACAATTCAATGTTTAAATAATGGCCTAACAATTAGTATGAAAAAAGTCAGTCAGCATATGACTTATTGATAGATTGTATTTGCTGACAAGGTCATTGTATCGACCAAAGAACTTACGAAATGATGACTTTAAACGAGACTGTTGACATTTTGGTTTCATCAACTTGTTTGTCAATAACTTACCTCGTTTTAGAAATTGTTCGTACGTAGAGCATGCTCTTGGGAATCGAACCAACAGAGAGATACATACCATATGCAGGTGGTAATTAAGGGTATATTGCTGCTTAAGTAGAGGAAGTTGACGATTGAAAAGTTAAAGTCATCACGTTTATCATAAAGTTGTGTTGTTAAATTACCATTAAAGTCTTTTGTAGTAAAATATCCAAATATGAAACCGATGTGTCAGACTCTGTGGTATCTTTTATTTCAAGCTCACTGGGAAATATGGTGTCGACATATGAATGGAAATAACTATTGTCAATTGATAATACGTCGTCGATATATCTAAATGTCGAGTTGAAGGCCACAGCAAGAGATTTCTTTTTCTCATGTATAAGATTTTGAAATAAATTATTTTGTTTTTATTTCTTGTTTTAATTCTGACTTCCAATTGTCTAATTAATGTTTTATTTTAATTTCTTATTTGAATTCTAATTTCTTATTTATGTTTTCCATTTTTTTTTTATTTTCTTAATTTTATTTTATTTGACGATGTGACATTACCCGCTTATACACGGCTTGTACGGATCTAGAGAGGCTTCTTTTTTAAGGTTTCAACCGAAGATTAAATGTCTTACGTTTGGCACGGCACTAGGAACTTCGGATAGTCAAACGCTGACCTCCCCAAACGCTTATGGGGGGTAATCGTGTTTAAAAACCCAGACTTGTAATATAAGTTTGTAAATTAAAACTTGAAATCGCATCAGTTTATAGTCTACCAAACACTGCAATTAAAATATACAAAATTGAAGTTAAGCAAATATTGTTTTGGATTTAAAGTGCAAAATTGAAACAGATAAATGGTACACTGAACGTGTAAAAAGGTCGCAGTCCTTATTTAGCCCTGTTTGGTGACAGATTTTCTTTAGAAGTCTTACCTATTTTAGAAAAATTATTTGATAGTGATAATCTTCATTAGGTACTTTAAATAACACTAAATAATTTTTAATCAATATTAAGATAAATATTTGTGAATATTTGGGAAAATCCTTGAAAAATTATTTTTACAACGGACAATCTAATTAAAATTAGATGTTCCGAATCCGCTACCGCTTCTCAAACATCTAACAACATCCCATTCGGGGTCACGTCAGAGCGACCTTTCGGTTACCCAATGAAATCGCAGTCGCTGAAATCTTGGCTTATAGTTCGGATGCGTTTCTTTTTTTTACAGCCAAACCTAAACGCCCGAGGGGTTTCGTAATAAAGAAAGTATGCATGGTAAAGACCGTGCTTAATATGAATGTGACGTGCGGGATATATAGACGTATACATGTAGTTTGTGCATTTTCGTTTGCATTATTTAGGTAAGAATGCCAGATTGGCGGACTGTACGTTCAATTTATCTGTTTATACCAAAACTTCTTTAATTCAACGTAAGACAGTCTGCTGAGCATCAATAATGTAAAGATGTAGCCGTCGAACAAATTTTAGAATCGTATACAGAAGGTTGAATCTGATTGGCCAAAATTTTTATGTTTATTCATAATCGAAAGGTCGCTCTGACGTGACCCCTAATGGTTTGAGAAGCGGTAGCGGATTCGGAACATCTAATTTTAATTAGAATGTACAACGGATTGCAGAAAAAAGGGCACGGGACCAAGAAATTTTTCCAGAGTGGTCCACACCAACTCAAACAGATGTCAGACTCAGATTGATTGATTGATTGTATGTTACGTCCCATTCGAAAATTTTTCACTCAGAGACGTCACCGTATGCCGGTGAAATGCTTCAAAGAACAAGGTTCACTTAGGGCCTTTTTTGGCCCTGTGAATTTCAGAAAAATTGAAACTGCTTGGTTTTAGTTGACAATGTATTAAATATCATTTAGATCTTTGGTGACTGTGTATCTATAAAAAATGACGTAATTTTCTGGCTATTCAATGCATTATGACGTCATGAAATGCGTCATTTTCCTCATATCCTGAAAAAATCTACAAAAACAGCCAATTTTTGAAGCTATTTTTCGATATTTAATGTAGAGCGCAACCTCTGATCTAAAATATGCAACTACTAAATGATAGAACTATTTCTGAGGATTACAAAACATGTTTTATTTTTTAAATCAGAGGGGAGGGTGCGCTCATATTATTTCTCTTCTGTGAAAGTACTCAAATATACTTGTTTTCCTTAAAATTCAAGAACATTACAATTCCATGAGGCCTGTTTTCCAAGACCTTGGCTTTAAGGAGAAAATTTTTAATAGGAAATGAAAGCACTAAGTCTCTACTTTATCTTGATGTTTAAAATGGAACATAACGCAGCACAGTTAAGGCTGCAATAAGGAGGCGGGGCCTAATTTTTACAGGAAATGCTTACTATGACATCACACAAAAATACATGCTCTTCAAATTACCACAAAATGAAATGATACGCTATTTTAAACTGTTGGATAGCTTTAAACTACATCAATACTTACTATTGCATGTATTTTTGTCGTTGGTTAAATCCCACACAGTAATTATAAACAATTCACTGATCGCAATGCACTTGTCATTGTGACGTCATATCGTAAAATTTGACGCAGTTTATATGTAGTGAGAGGCGGATCAAGTTATATTTTATACAATGAAAAATGTGTTTTGTAATTAAATAAAATATTATTTGCAGATATATAAGAGGCCATTAACTTGGATGCGATGTCTACTTTATGATTTTATTCATATACTTCCCGTACATTCCCTAGACAAGCCATACTGTCGTATATTTGTATGCAGATTTATTGAAGGGTAATAGAAGAGTCGTAATAAATCGATATATTGAAAGGGCATACCCTCAATGAATTATGACAAACTTTTACACATAAACTCAAGAAGTATGAAGATATTTGAAAAGTGCTGCGAACCTGATGAAATCTTGCAAATGAATTAATTATATCTACATTTAATGTACTTGACCAGCAAAATATTCAACATACGGTCTAACAAATGTAATTTTAGCAATTATATACTAGTAGAATCTATATAGGTTCGCAGCTTTTCACAAACTACAAAGAGTGTTGAAAATTATCGTCGGAAACCCACGGTCGGTCTCAAGAGAAGCGAGACCGACCGTGGGTTTCCGACGATGGTTGAAAATAATTATAAATTAAACTTAGATTTTTAACTTGGTTATGCCCTTGCAATATTGGAATTTATAGATGACATCAATACTGCAGGTATATAAAATCACGTGACTGCCACATTATGCGACAAATCTAAATAAGAAATATAAACGTCCTCAACATTTAGTTTTCAGCCACATTACATTTGTCCGATAATAGTAAAGGCCTAAAAGAATCGCCCATCCTTGTAAGGAATGTATTTTCTGTCTAAAAACTCGCCGATATTTCCATTTGGCACCTTAACTGTCCTGCGAAAGTGTTAGTCAATAAATCGGTATATCTACAGGGCCATTCTATGCATGAAGTGAACCTAGCTCTTTAGACCTATACTCGGCACTCAGGGCCATTGAGCAGTCAGTGTCTTTTATCCTGCCAACGCCACCGTGACACGGGACATCAGTTTTAAAGGTCTCATCCGAAAGACCCGTGACTTTCACTTCTAGTACCCGGCGCTTGACGAAGGAACATTCACTTCCTTTGTTTACGTCTTAGGTTTGACGGGGCAAGGCGAACGAGAACCGATGTCAGACTCGGATATGATCCTTACAATTTTAAGAAGAGTCTATGTTGCCTACGTGGGGTCTAGGGTCACCTTATTCGTTTCTTTTACTCAGAAACGTTTACCTTTTACTCTGAAAATCCCAACGGTAAACCCCAACCTCCACCTAGATCTGCTCATGAATACGTCATTTACAACTAGACCAAAAAGACGATATTCCTTTTTTTCAACAAAAAAAAAAGGTCGACAAAGGGGAAAAATACTGAAAATTAACCTACCAAAACTCGACTGCTTAAGTCCCCCACCCACATCCCATCCCCGCCCCCAACCAACCCATTCCCCAACACGGCTTGCTCTGCCCTGAAAATTTATCTTCGTTTGTACTTTTGTACTGGTGTTTTGTTGTCAACTTTCAACTGGAATGGGACATTGAATGGCCCAAATTCTAGACAATCGAGAGAGCTGAAATATGCACCGCTGGCCATGATATTTCCAATCGACCAAAAATAAAATTAAAGATGAAATGTAATAATTCAACTTGAACAAAATGCATGTAATACAGTAATACTACAAGTAATACAAATGATGTCCATAGAAAAACGCAAACTTTTTGAATATTTCATAAACAACCTGACCAAAATTATTCATTTCTAGCACATTGTTGGGAAATGAAATTGTTGCTCTTTTGACAAAATGCAAGTTGTACCTCTACTTCTGCTTTGTTTTGTGCTGAATACCTTGACAGAAATACACACTGTTTTAAAAACCAAATAATTTTTTATAAATCTTACAGAGTATAGATGTCGCTTTTGTTTTCGTGGTACACTAAGCCGAAAAATACATAGAAATTTAAAGTCTGACCATTTTACATATAAAATATAGTTGGAGGTATGGTCATTGTTTGTTTTACGAATTTGATTTAAATTTTGATGTGACCTAAAATAGGAGAACTATGGAATACTAACAAACAATCAACTGACCAGTTTCAAACATCGTTATATTTTTACCCTGAAATCGGAGTAAAAATGAGGGAAGCTGGAGTTTTACCTGTATCCAGCATCTGGCTCGTCACTTTGTGGTTGTGTACATGTAGGTTTTTTTTGTTCTTTTTATTTTAATTGAATTTTGAATTTTCCATTTCCATAAGTTGTAAAATTACTTTCAATTTTACGATAATTTTGTATTTTAAAGTTATCTACATGTGTACTTTATTTAATGTGATACATGCCACAACTGTTTTCGTAAAATACCAGTACTAGTGTAACTGGCCTTCTGACTTCATTTTTTTCCGACCCACTTTTCAAAATACTTCATTGTGTCTAAATGATCTACATTTTCAACCGTTGAATTTTAGGTGTGAGTGTTCTATTTTAGTCAGGAAGTACATTTACTGTCATATGTCCTTTCAAAATATTACATGTAGTCTAAGGGTTTTTGACCTTGTGACTTTGAACTCGACATCCGATGTATTTTTCTCTGATGAATATTTTTTTTAAAGGATTGCTTTTTATTATCTTTGTTCTCAATTGATATGGCTTTCTTGTATTTCATTAGTCAGTAAGCCCTTGAAAATGCAAAAAACTGCTGAACGTATAATACATGTAACTCTAACCCTCTTATTTTCATTTTTTAAAAATTATAATTATATGTAATGGATAATGTTTTGATGTTAAGCTCTTTATGGTGTAATACTTCAATAATCTAGTGATGGTATTATGAACATGATTTTTTTCTCTACATTCTTTTAAATTTCAAGATAAAATGGTGTTGGAAACTAACTTTTGTCTTAAATCTTCACTTCTACATGTAAGATAATAAAGTCAATTTTGAAACAATGCCTATCTTATTTCCAATCCAACCCACATGTTCCCTAGAACACTCTACTTTCAGATTACATGTTCTTCCTATGAGCATGTTTAATTATGAATAGACGAACTCAATTTTCCGTTTTACAGATTTCCAGACTGTTTCCGGTTCCTACTGTTTCTATTCCTACTATTATTCCTATTACTACTGCTACTATACCTATACCACGTGAGTAGTGAAATTCAGTTGTCAGATATCCCTTAAATCTAAAAAAAAAAATATAAACAGATTTTTTTTTAATTTAAATAATCATTTTCCAATCATGAATGTAGACACATTTTCGTAACAGAGGCTACGATGTGATTGGGGGAGCGATTGCTGGGGCTATCGTTTGTACGGCTGTGGTGGTCGTAGTGATCATTCTGGTATGCAAGAAGCAAGCGGCGAATCGAACCCGTGTGACTAATATCACACCAAGCACCACAGTAACCACCGTACACCAACCACCACCACCAGCAGGTGACGTTATACAATTTTTTTTAATTTTTTTTCTTAGAACATTTATAAATTATTGAGAACGAGTATTATTTGTTTGTTAATTTAGCAATAAATGAATTAAACATAACATAATAGCGAAAGTGGTTAAAATTTAATTTTGAATCTCTTGAAAAGTCTGTTGAGCTAATAAACGTACGTGTAGTTGTAAAAGAAAGATTCTTTTCTCTGAAACTTTCGTCTTTTTTAAAATAATGTTATTAATAATTTTAGGTGGAATGTATAATATGCCCCCACCACCAGCCTATGACAATAACCCAGCCTACCCCCCAGGGCAGTACCCACCGCCACCGCCCTCGGGAGGAATATACCCACCGCCAAATCAGTACGGAATGAAACCATATTGAACACATAACTGGACAAATAATTATCACCCTGTAGTTTTCGCCAGTGTGATGGAGTAGGGAATTAGCCTGGCTAACTGAATAATCTGTGTCTGATGTGAAATACTCATACTCGCAGTCATTATCTGGAAAGAGAAAATCTGTAGAATTAATTACAACAGTTAACTTTACACTGTATTTTTTTTAACACCAGGTCGGAGGGTGATTTGTTTAAAAATCACTGATAACTAAGTTAAAATTAAGATTTAAACCTTTAATGTAAAATAATTCTAACGATATGCATGCATTTCCTTTTTCGTAATTTATATTATTATTTCTAAATACTTGCAAGTAATAAATTAAAAAAAAACAACTCATGACTTAATTTTCTTATTCAGACTGTTGACAGACATGTTTTTTCTTTATGGTAAAACAAAACTTAAATGATGAAAATATTTCTAAATATGAACATGTGTCTGTGAAAGAGAGAAAAAAGAGAGAAGGGTATTTATAAAGTCTTATTGCAAATAAAATTTAAATGCTTGAATTTATGGTGACATTTAAACTTATAAAAACAAAAACTGCATCTGTTGTTGGTAATGAATAAAATAAACCGTCGGAATAGTATGAAAATTAATTGCCTATTTGACAACTATTCAAGTCCCGGCAGGTATAACGGGGTCTGATTTAGATTGCTCTTTCTATTTCCATTCAGGTATTTTATTTGACAATGTATGAAATAAAATTAAATGTCCCATCTCTCTTTTCGTCACGGATGATTAGAAAACCGTGATCAAGATCGCTTCGACGAGAGAAAATCAGCTTAGCTGTATTTAGATCTTTGTAAATACATGTGTGACGTCAAGCGCATGTTTATGTCCCGTACCAAGGGGACAACCAATATTGAGACTTGTCTGGCTGACTATCGACAAAATGGAGAGATTTAAGATTTGGAATTATCTCTTCCTGGTGCTTTTAACCCTGATTTTATGTAAGTTTTATTTTGGTTTTTGTAAATATCATCGATGAGGAATATTCCATATATTTTTTAAAGCATATTCATTACATTAATATGTATATTGCGTATGTTTTAAGAAACACCTTAGGAGTTATATATACACTGGGTTAAATTAATACTCAATTAAGGAACTTTTTTCGAAGTGTGATTGAGGAAGGGGGGGGGGTAACATGTACATACAAACAAACAAGTACAGGAATTGAGTTATTTCATGAAGATAAATGTCAATTTTCAAAGATAAATTTTATGAACGAAACTATTTCTGAACTGATATAAGCCTAAAACTTTTCAACGTTTATTTATTAATATAGATACATGTACATGTATATATTTATGGTTTAAAACTTAGAAGTAACATTAACTTTAAATAGAGCTATATTGATATTGTGTAAACTAAGTTTGAGAAGGATTAAAAGGGTGAAATTTGGAACGAGTGTCCAATGCGACATTGGAAAACTTTATATAGACGTATATATAAAAATACAAAGGCGTTTTATTAGTCCCTTTAAATCACTCTCTATGATTTATTGAGCCTTAGCGTTATTTACTTGGATATGCATGTTAAATAAAATTTATGTATTTTATCTGTAAAAAAAGATAGAACACATTTGCTAAAAAAAAAAAAATAAAGTTAATCCATTTGTGATGAAAAATTTGCCGCAAACCACGGCCTAAGTGTACGATCTTCTCCCATTCTGGCCACGATTAGGAGAGAGCTATTAGTGGACGTCGGACCGTGGCCTGAGACGATGTTGTGGAAACGAATTTGAAAGTCTAAATGGCCTTGAGACGACAGTCACGATGCATTCACTGATCAGAACACACCCTTACGACGACAAGGATTTTATACTTCCTATCCATCTCACTCGCACTAGTACATGTACTAGTACCCGCTTTTCTATTGCCGTTTTGATTCCAGTACCTAGAATCTTCGCTAGTACATAGAATCTTCGCTATCCAAGCCTCCTGATCCAGTACAGATACGTCCTATCGTTTTTGAAAGGGGGGGGGGCAAAAAAAAAGACAACTAATGTGGTGGATAGGAAATATAAGACTAACGAAAATACAAGTATATTGGCATTCCTAGAACTGAATTTATGCAGAGCAGGGTTTTTAAATTTTGATGAATTTTAAAGCACATAGTCTTTTTTTTCTTTAATAAAGAATAGAAATTATTTTAATTTTCAAAGTTGTACATGTGTACATGTACATGGGAGCTCATGTTTTTCTAAGAGGAGAAATTAGTTGTTCTTTTCTTAAGAAAATTTACTGACATTTCGCAACAATTTACTATTTTATTTGTTCAAACATTTCATATCATTTTGTTTGGTCACAAATGTTTCAATATATTAATTATTGGTTTTAATCATTAAATTACAGGTATCAGTTACGTCACAGCGGGTTCCTATTGTTACTATTCCTATTATTATTACAGTTACAGATGCTACTATTACTATTATTATTACTACTAGTAAGTATGTTTTCTACTTTGATAGTAGTTCAAAGTTAAATATATGCGCTTTTAAAGTATAGAAGTTCTTTTTTTTTTTTTTTTTTTTTTTTTTTTTTTTTTTTACTAACCCAAATTATTTTTTGATTTTTTGTTTAAAATACTTTAGATAGAAGCACAAAGTTTAACAAATGTGTTTTCAAACTATATCAGGTGTGTTTTTTCCCAATAAATAAATAAATAAATAGATAAAGAAGAATAAAAAAATTTTGATCCAGATGCATGCTCTTCCATGAGCTTATATTTCTAGCTTTAAAAAGTCACAAAATTAAATGTAACTTTAGAGTACAAAATTAATGTATGTTTTCGAAGCGACATAAATTATTTTTTTAAAGCATGTCTATGTCTTTTTTCCCTTTCCAGTGGTTCCGCTGGGACTATTGCCGGAGCTGTGGTGGGCGGACTATTTGGGCTGGCCTGTATAGTCGGAATAATTGTGTTCGTCTGTATTGTTGTATGTAAATGTAAAACCACCGGGGTCAGAGGTCGTGTAGTGCAGCCAGGAACAGGCGTGTCTACTAATGTCACGTATATCAATACGCCCACAACCTACAGTAAGTTGTGAATAAACTGGTACACTTGTAATCAAAAAATTGATGGAATATTATCTAAAACAACAAAATACCCAGCGATTGCGAGAATCTTGAATGTCGTAACTATTTTACAAATACAAAATGGTTGAATGAGCTTTTTTTCTTTCCAGATGGCTATGGATATAATGGGGCACCACCCAACAATGTTGGACCCACGATGCCCCCAGCATACACGAATCACCCACCCCCAGAATACCAACCCCCTCCTGCCGCCCCACAGTATAACGAACCTGCTTACCCTCCGAACCCACCGCCCCAGTATAACAACGTGATAAATGCTCCGCCCCCTACGACCCATAATTACAGATAAAAAGAATTGAATGCGGAAATACACGTTTTATATTTTGCAAGTGTGAGACTCATTTCACACATCAAACAACTGTTTATTTGTAATATATTAGATTTAGTTTTTCTTCTAAATTTGGAGCCCTAGCTCTTGATTTTGATATGTACAGGATTTTGCAAATTTGTACTATGTACACGTTGTTGAACCTCGATTTTATTTAGAAATACATAGTGTTTCTTTACGGTATTTGATTTGATTTTAAGTTATTAAAATTCATGTGCAAATGTTTGTTTCAGTATCTTAAAGTCAAATCAATGCTCCCTTCCCCTATTTTGCAGTATTTCTGAAGCATATTGAAACTTGCTTTGTTTTTACATACAGTTCATAAATGTAAATTTGACAAGATGCAAAGCTGAAAGTGATTACTTTGACCAGAATCAAGTTAAGTTTTAATGATATTATGAAAAAGCCAGTGTTAATTTGTACGTAGTAAGAATGTTTTGTGATATGAATTTTGAATTATTCAGTCAAGTAACTTTTGTGATAAATTTCCCTTAGTGCCAAGGTTTCCGTTTTTTCCTTCCATACAAAATGATAGAGACAAAGTGAACTGTTACAATTGTTAATGTTGATGAATTTAATAATAATAAAAAAAAATCTGAAATGAGACTTTTAATTTCAATTTGTAGTTCACCTCAAAGAAGTTGGATTGGGGTGGGTGGGGGTGAGAAAGGACAGAGCTTTTTCATTTTCTTCTCAGTGGAGGGCAGATTATTTATTTTCAACATTTTCGAGGACAGGTTATTTATTTCCAAAATCTGCTATGGCTGCTGAATGGTTGTCCCTTAATCATGTATTGAATTAACGATAGATCCATCGAAATAGTATTTTATGACTGCTAAAGTGCTTTTTAATTCACCAGTTTTAAGATACTTCAGTCAACCGAGACCAATAATTGCAAATATAAACATGTACATGTAGATGAAATCTCGATGGCGTGACCTACCAGAATTTCCTCTGCCCTTTTATGAACACTGAAGCTGTACAATTTACCTTTTGTAAACATTGTTTTTGAAAAACCAGGGTCAAACACTTAAAACTTATTATTACTGGTACTATTATATTATTTTCTGATTCTATACTGTCAAACTTGTCATAGCGGTCAAAAGAGTGATTTCTTTGAATTTGGTCGCGAAATGACCGCGAATATTAGCATTTCGCGGAAGTCTTGAGCCACAGTAAAATTTGAAATGATGAAGAACCCTGTACACTTTTGCAAATGACCCTATTATATAGGGACACCATAAATATGGTATCTAAAGTTCGATTAAAAGAAATTCTATTTCTCTAAAAATGTATATATTCATTTTTGTACTTTTATGGGGTAAACGTGTCAACATTTTACCAAGCCGTTTGTGAGACATAGGGAACCTTGAATCATAATGAAATGTATGAAACGAAATTGTTGAACGAAAATGAAGATTTCAAATTCAAGCTTTATATAGAGACGGTTTTATTTAAATAATAGATTTAAGAGTTATCGTTCCTTGCTGAGGAGCGAATATCCTTACACAGTGTATATTAATCCACGTGAAGATAGTTGATAAGATACCCAAATTATCCAGATAAGTGGCTTTTAAGAACAAATATCGAGCCCTTGAAAATATTAAATTTTGTTTTTGCGATTAATTATGCCTGGTCAATTAAATGCAACGCTTTCTTTTCCATGCGAAGATATTAGAAATTGAGATGAAAGATCTAATTTTCATCTTTCTGCCTTCTTATTATCATCATCCCTCCCTCCTGGACTAATTTTGTATCCTTACACAGCAGTAATCAGGGTTCCACTTGCAACATATAGATAACATGATTGTGCCTTTTCTTAGATGATGAACTTTATTACCATACATGCATGTAGTTAAATCGTGTGAAGCCAGTAAATTGACTTTTCATGAAGTCTTAAAAGTTAACATTATCGATCGTATTGTTAAATATACAGTTGATTCAAGTGATGTCTTCCTATACTATAATAAAAGTTCTTGTTTCAAACAAATATACACACTCCCAGAATAATGTGTTGTTTAACAACTTCTTATTAAGAAAAAAGAAACAATATCATAAAACAATAAATACACAACCTTTAAGTAATATCTTCGATAGTGGCGTCTGTCGTTTTTACGTTTTCAACGACACATGTTTAAAACGTGCAATTTGATTGGTCGATAAAAATGTAAGTAAAGTTAGGGTTGGTCAAGAGGGAAACTCAAATTAAGGTCAGACGATACGTTCCTCAAATGTCTGTTTTGTATACCTTCGAATTATTTGGAAAATATTCAAAATTTTAATTACCTTCTGATTTCTAAACTGGTTTCTAATTGTCTTTAAAAAATGAAACACCAAAAAAATGTGTTATTGGCTAATTAAGTTTTTTCCAAAGGGATTTTATAGGAAAAACATCCTCTGGTATCTTGCACAAATGCCTGGTAAGGTACCTCAATTTTTTGCGAGTAAACATGTTAAAGTAGCAATACTTCAATTACAAAATGTTAGAAAAAATTATATATTATTGAGGAACGTATCGTCTGTCCTTAATCTTCCGGAGCTTCATTCTGAGGTAAACTCACTCTGCGATACACCTTAGGAAAGAGAATATGGACCAATCAGAGAGCTTCAAAATTTCTTATCATTTAATTAGAGTAAAACTCGCATACAGGTATACATGTTTATATATATGAAATCTAAATTCAGTGCATTTTTTTTATCATACCTAATTTAAAAACACAACTGGAGGCATAAAATAACTTTCAACTGCTTTGCATAAACTCAGCAAAATGTTTTAAAACCCGGCAACTGTTGATTACTTCTAAAACCCAAACAAGCAATCAATATCCTGGAACTGGTTGATTCGAATGCAGCTGTCCCTTTCTATTCATTTCATATAAATTTACATATCATGTACAATCTTCGTTTTAATACCAGTTTCTTCAGTGGCTCTTATACATGGATATAATGCATGTTTACCTTGTGTAAAGGTTGCATAAGAGTTTTCAATGTCTTCATGTTATTTACACTGAATAAGCACTGATAAAGTTGAACGCACTCTAAATCACACCTCAAAACAAGGAAGTTAAAAATGTGACGAATTTTATCTGAAAACTCAAGACAAGATTTCGTTAATTCTAACTATGGACTGCAAAATATATATTGCTTTCTTTGCTCTGATTCTAGGTAAGGAAATTTTGATTAGAACTCTAATCAATGACCCAGTACATGTTTAAGTCACAATTCTGGTACTTGTGTAAATATTCTGATGGGATTGGTGACATACTATAAGTATGAAATGTTTACTGAGTTTGGAAATATAGTGAACCTCGATCAAGCATGAAAATATATTTGCAATTCAATATTTTTCTATGGGAACATTTTTGAAAAAGTTTGAATTAATATTGATTTGAGTTACGAAATTTTTAAATGTGAAAAAGCAGCGATTGAAAATTCTGCTTCTGCAATACATGCATTTTTAAAATATTGTATTCATTTTTAGTGGAATGAAACTGCTAGGTCTTAAAACCCTGGTTCTCTTGTGAAGAGTTAAGGCCCATACTTGTACATAAAAGGTCCTATCATGAATTAAGTTCAAATTTGATAACAAATACTTGACGTCATTTCTGAATCAAATAAAACTACAGGATGAGAAACATTACAGAATGGGACTGAGACAACTATTGGTGCTTATTTGTTATTTTTAACATTGTTTAATTATAAGTTCACCAAAATATACATAATTATATATAAAATATAATAGCTACTGCAGGTGCATAAATTGAAATGGAATATTTACATGTACCTCACTCGAAGAGAGCTTTTAAATATCTATAGGTTTTAGTCATTGTCATGTTTTTTTTTATTGTCTATTTGTCTATCACAATATTACACAGTACCTGTCAGGTATAAAATTAATTATTAGTATCTAGACAACATTAGAGAAGGATGTGTTATCTACAAAAAGTGTTTGATGATTTGCCAAAAGTTCTGTAAAACGTAATGAAAAGGTGGTGTCGACTTCGCAATCAATATTGTTGGTAAATAAATTGCTTCTTTAATCACACAAATAAGAAATCTTTTTTGTGACAAACTTAAAACGCAAACTCAGAAAATCTTTAAAGTAGTGTGTGTTTGCCCTCTCCCGACTCAGGATTAAACTTATATACATGTAGGGTCGGTGCAAAATTTTTTCTCAGGAAATTTCAACATACTTGGTGACCTGATGAGAAAATTCAGAAATGAAGAGAAAAAAAAATACGTTTCCTGAAGGTTAAAACAGTTTTGAGTCGGGCCATTTTTAGCCAGCCGGGGGCAAATAAACATTTTTTTTTAAAGATGGCCTTACAAAGTATGATTAATGGCAGTAAGCTCAGACTGAAAAATCAGAAAGACACTGAGATCACTAAGCTCGACATTTGTAATTTGAAAACCAAACAGAGGGAAGTCATCCTCTCCTTGAATTAAATTAAATATGCATTTTTATTTTTCAAATATACAGGTACAATTTTTATACTTAATAACATTTTATGGAATCTACGCACTTTGACAGATAAGAGTACTATAAGTTTTTATATGAACAAGACATGTAAGAAGCTACCTAAAATGGCAATTTAAACTGAAATTAACCTTTCAATTGGTACAATTCCTAGGCCTTTTGAAGTAATTAAACAATAATTTGCTGGACTTCCTCAACAGAGTAGATTACCACAGGGATAAAATTGTTAAGCTCTGATACAAAATTCCTTTGTCGTGGTCGAGTTTAAAGCGCTATGTTAAGTCATTCTTATACGCAAACAATCTCAGGTAATGCAAATTAAATTGTTAAAATCAATGCCACAAGGACCACAATTATGATAAAAGTTATGGTTCCGTTGCTTAGGGTGCAGCTAATATCGGGAATCAGATTTAACATAATGCATGTATCTTTTTCTCAGGAAAATGTAAAAATTAAGTACAACGTATATTGAAAGAGCTAGTACTTTTTGTTTCCCTCTAGGCTTGTCCACAGTGTCTGGTTCCTGTTACTATAACTCGTATACTACATCCTACTACTGTTTCTACGACTACTATGATTACTACTTCGATTATTACCACTACTACTACTCCAGAAAGCTGAGGTAAGAAGTGCAGCGTTTTTGTTTGTTATTGCTGTTGTTACTGGTGTAGTGGAGTTGGCCATACCGTCAGTAATAACACACTAATAATTCTCTTTTTACAATAATGTTAAAAGGAGTACCATTGGGATCATATTTGGCGCCCTCGCTGGATTGGCTACGCTGATTGGACTTATCGTCTGTTTGTGTGTGTGCGTGTGCAGAAAAACCACACCCAGTCAGCGCGCAGTTATCTACTATAACCCAAATGTAGGAACAACTGTGATGCAAGCTAACCAGACAGGTAAGTGCGATCTTTAAAAATTGAAAATTCATGCTCTTTCCAACAACAATATAAACATGAAAACAAATACATGTAATTTATATTAATTACATTCTTGTCTTCAAGAATTCCTGAAAATAAATTTTCTGGATATGCAAATAAGCTTTCTATGATTGAGAGGCACAAGACAAAGAAATGGCCATTTTAGGGGTGCATCAAGTTATTTTTCTAACGTTTCAGCGATGCAACCTCATAATCAGCAAATGCTGTACCCAGCTAATCCCGGTCAGATGCAGACAACTGGACATGGTCAAGCCTTTTCTTCTGCTTCTTCATGCCAAAACAGTCCGTCACAACAATCTACTGAAAATCAAAACTAGTCTTCGAAATAACAATTGTCTTTTTGTGCTCCTACATTGACACTCCTCCTCTTTTTTGTTTTTATCAGCTTTCACTTATTTTTCTTTGCTCGATAATTTTGGTTTGTTAGTTTTTTGTAATGACTTAATTTTATATGCACTTTTGTAAATAAAGCTTATATGAATATTTTTTTTTACCAATATGCCATATACCAATGCAATGGATATGTTTCTTGATTTCATATAAATCTTACTTTACGTTTTTGTATTGAATTGTTTTTGAAGACTGAACATAAAATACCTTAAAATTCAAAGTAGATTTTATGCAAACAAGAAATGTTAATTACAATCAAATTCGCTTTATAAAAAAGATACGCCACGGATAATTGAAAACGGCAAATCAATCTATGGTAATCAATATGTTTTTCGGATGCACTTTGGGTTATGTATATCCTACCGAACAATTTCACACTAAGGACTCTTTTCACATGTATCAACAAATACACATTGTGTGATAACAATCAACAACAATTTAAATTTAGAAAATGCTTATGTATTTTTATGTTATGGTCCATTTTATCCAAACTGCACTAACAGTTCTAGAAGAATTTTATTCTATAGTATAATTATAAAAAAAATACGAAACCTTATATAGTGAACAAGTTTTTTTGGCGACTTTGAAAGAGAGAAAAAGAAAAAAATCTTAAAAAGAAAATAACAGAATAAAGGGGTCAAGGTATCTTAGATTAGCTTTGTGGCCCATGGATCTCTTCTAATACTAAAAACATTAAAAAAAAATCAACAGTAAGCTTAATGAATAACAGTATAGACCCGGAAAATATTATTATGTACAACTGATTGATTTCCTAGTCCAAACTAAACGAAAGAGGGTTGATTTACTGTGCTAATGGGACAAAGATTTGCTTTTTTGTTTTAAAACTTTATTATAATACTTTGAACTTTAAGTATTGCATACATGATTTTGTAAATTGCTTTGAGTTTATTTATTTTGTACTTTGATTTTATTCACGATGTAGAACCTTATACATATATGTTGTATTTTATATTCTCTTTTGTCAACTTCTATAATTTCTGTTTTTTATTTTCTATGACGAAGTCTTTAATTTGTTTGCCACGCAAAATGCAAGGACAATGCTTCTTCAAAATCTTCCCATACTAATTCCAGTTCTATATGATGAATGATTTCTGAAACATTATTAAAGAAATAATTAATTTTTTTTTTGTTTTACATATAAATATAAAAAAAAAAAGAATTGAAATTTGACTCGACACAAAGCAGAAAATGATTACCTTACAGCCAAGGGTTATTATTTCCCCGTCATTTATATTAATATTCACATTTGCTGCGTTTTTCTACTAATCCAACTGTGAAATTGATTTGAATGCCATTTGCGTGTATACTCACGCGTAGAAATTTGCACAGGGAAACTCGCGCTAAAGTGACGTCACAATAAGCTACAAAGAGTCAGAGACGTTAATAAAAATGTAAGGATATAGGGCAGCAAAGCGCGCTTTATGAAAAATATGCCTACGTGCAAATCTGTGTGATTTACACACCAATAACTCACACAAAACTTAAAAAATTCTTAATTATATAGAATCGAGTCACATATTTATCTTTTGGATGTTCTAAGAAAAAAAAATATGATTTGTGTTTTAAATTATAAAATTACTAATAAGTCAGAGTTGTGATAAATTATCCACAGTACCAAGATTTCTATTTCTTTCATAAAAAAAATAAGAGAAAAATTGAACTATAACAATTGTTAATGTTGATGCGTTTAATAAAGCCAAAAATTCTATTGTTAAACTTAATCTTAATATTTTTTTTCAATAAATTTGTATATATCAGAACACTTTTATTTATTTTTTTTTTTGGCCTTCTGGGTAATTTAAATGTGTGAAGAGAATCCGCCGAAATGTGGATCAAATCCTGCCGACTTAATGTTAAACAATAATCAATCAACCTCCTTTTAGAATTGTGACTGAATTTGCTTGAACAAAATGTTTCATAATTAAGATATCCAGGTACTGCACAGAGTAGTACTTTGTATTTTTTTTGACACGAGAGCATTGGACATGATCATTACGTTTAGTTTATATTAAAACCAAGTCATTACATAGAATTTTTGTTTTAAGCTAAATTTTGAACAAACAATTATCGGGTCCTAAATACCGCATGATGGCGCCACGTTCCAGATCACATGTAGAGTTGTAAGGTAGTTCGTTTTGCATTTTCTTATTTCAGTGGTTAAGTAAATGAAAATACCAAAAATATTATACTGAATTCACAAACCATTTTTACTAAATAAGTACTAGTATCTTTGTTATCTTTCGGTATTCGTCACAATGATGACGGCCAAGTAACCTGTTTATCTACTAAGGAGAGACATTTGGGCGTGTTTTGGTAAGGTGTATCTACCCATGTTACTTCTTCAAAATTCATATCATTATAGTAAATCGGTAACAAAGGGGAAAAATATACATCGACATGACTTCAATTTTTCAATAGTAAACTTCCCCTACTTATGTAGCAATATACCCTTATCACCAGCATATGGGGTTTATGTATCCCAGTTGATTTGATACAATTTCTAAAAAGGCAAGCTATTGACAAACAAGTTGATAACACAAGGATATCAACAGTCTCGTTTTAAGTCATTATTTTGCAAGTTTTATGGTCGATATAAAGACCCTGTCAGCAAATACAACCTATCATTAAGTCAAATGCTGACTGACGTTTTTCATACTAATTGTTAGGCCATTATTTACCCACTGAATTGTCTACGGACTTTTCCGTTTTTAGCCGATCATGACAAGGAGCACACAGCGGGTGTGACCGGTCGGCAGGGGATGCTTATTCCTCCATGGCACCCTATCCCACCTCTGATGTTTTTGGAGGTCCGTGTTTCTCTGCTCCAGATTTGAATTGTGTAAATAGACTGTGAGCTTAAATAATGTTCGTTATCTCCATATTGTTCTCATTTTTAGACTTATTAAATTAAATAGGAAATTTAAGAGTTATTATCCCTTGCCGTTGCCGGACATCCGTAATTAACAAGCAATTGAATTCAGGAATTTGATCATGCTTTTTAAAATTTTTAAGTGCACTTCTCTTTTTCAAACATTACACATTTAATTGATATAAAATCATGTACCATGTTCAGTTTTTGTTTTAAAGGGTTTTGTTTAAAAAAGAAAAGGTTGCACAAGAGCTTTGAATGTCTATCATGTTTACCCTAGGTAAACAATAATCAAACTATTGCGTAGCTGAGCTATCTCTGACATCTAAATTTAAATTCACACCTGTAAATAAACAAGGAAGTGAAAAGTTGACAAGGATATTTATCAGAAATTCAAGAGAAGATTTTGTTCAATTCTAACTATGGACTGGAAAATATTAACCGTTTTCTTTGCACAGATTCTAGGTAAGAAAATTGTTGTTAGAACTTAATTCTGAAGATCTTCTGGGATTTCTGCACACTCAGAGAACTATTAATAGTTTAGAGATTCGGCCCTTTACCGTTTATAAAAATAGTTTTTCTATATGAGGGGGTAATCTCTAAAACTTAACAAAAGCGGAAAATTATATTAGATATCGAAATATAGTATGATAGGCTAGGAATTCATGTATTTTGGTTAGTTTTACTTGTCTGACAAAAATTCTTAGAAGGGGGGGGGGGTTAACACCATCCATTCGTCAGGTGCTGGTGATTATTTAGTGCATGACTGTACCAGTCAATATATTTGTAGTATAGGATTACTGAAATGTACATATTATGTGGGACAGATACATGTAAGCATATGATGGTTTCTACCAGCACAAGTTTAAAAATATGTCATACTTCCTTAAGCGTGAAAAATGATTTACGGATTGATGATTTATTATGGGTAGATTCCTATAAAGTTTAAATAAATATCGATTCATGTTGTAATTTTTTTTTCAAAATGAAAAAAAAAAACATTGAGGCGAGTAGAGATTATCTACTTTTGCTATTTATTGTCGTATCTTTTTAGAATGAAACTTTATGGTCCTTCAGATTGAAATCTCTATATACAAAGTTTAGATGTGATGAATTGTGACCCATACTTATACAGGAACATGCAGGCTCTATTTTAAAAATATCATATGCATAAGTACTGTTTAGTCAAAACTTTAGAGAAAAAGAACAACTAAAATTGGAGCTTTTTTTTTTTTTGAAAAAATTATACATACTAGTAGATGAAAAAAGTTTCTAGTGTAATAAGTCATTGTCTTGGTATTTCTGTCTAATATTCACAGTATGTGACAGAGTACATAAAGAAAGAATTTGAACAAATACAAAAAAGTTGTGCTATCCACACAAAGAATTGATAATTTTACAACCATATATGTATATTACACCCCCCTTTTAATAGAAGTTAAATGTTGCCTCTGCGGCCGATTAATTATTAATGGAATAGACTGTTGTTGAATTATACAACAAATAAAATATTTTCTGAACAAACTTGCGCAGACTACAAAGAATGACCAACTGAAGTATGCTCATTCTGACCAGTTAGGACCCTAGCCTGTTACTAAGATCACTTACCTCCAAATTTAAAAATTTAAGACTAAACGGGGGGAGGTCTCCTTTACGTGGGTTAAACCTATCTTTGTTTTTTTTTAAAATAAGCTTTACAAATATCATAATCTAGAAAATCAATGTAAACTCAATATACCTATTCAGACAGACGACAACCTATAAAGATTATTGGGACTTCCTAACAAAAAAAAAATGCAATAGAAATAAGTTTGCGTCACCATGGTGTCTGATACAAAATTGCTGTGCAACGGTCAAATTTGTAGTTACAGTTCAGTTAACTTTGAAACATACATGTACTGTTCAGAATGAAAAAGGCGAAGAAAATCCACAGTCACAGGAAGAAACAAGACCTTTCAGTTAAAACTGAAAGGTGGCTTTCATTGACTTTAGTGGCCATTCAGTCACTAATTGGCAGGTACATTTCAGTGACCATTCAGCCACAATTCAGGTACCTTTCAGTCACCATTCAGCGGACACATTTCAGTCATCTTTCAGTGACCTTTCCGTCGTCTTTCCGTCGCCTTTCAGTGACCTTTCCATCTCTTTTCAGTGACCTTTCAGTCATCTTTCAGTGACCTTTCAGTCGTTATTCAACTACCTTTTCATCGGCTTTTCATTAGTTTATCAGTAGTTATTCTTAATTTTTTTAAAAATAAAATTATTCACATTTTTAAATGTGTTTTCTTATTGAATATAAAATTCAGATAAGTAGAACTGCTAATGGTTAGATGTTCAATCGTTTTTAAATTGTTTAGTAAAATGTTAAATTGTGATTATTAACTATAACATTTATGTCTAAATATAATTTTATAAACATTAAAGATTACAGTTCAACTGTGGACTCATAAAATTCAAAATGATTTTTGAATTTCTAATTTGTCTCATGAAAATTGATCTAGAAAAAGAAAATTATTCAAATGATGAAAAATAATATTCGTATCAGAATTTAATTAACAGGAATAGAATTGCCTTTTTTTCTTTCTGTAAAATCTCTAAATCTGTAATGAATATTTTCACAGGCTTATTTGATAAGTTGTTAAATGAATAAACAGACCGTCAAACTGAAAAAAAAATCAAGGATATCGGTCAAAATGCTCTTAAAATAAACAACAAAAAAGTTGTTCTCATTTTTTTAAACTCTAAAATAGTTTTTTATTATTTTTATATCCACCAATCACAGTGTATAATGCGGTTAGTTTTCATGGAAATATCTGGTTATGAAAGACGAGACAGAATTAATTATTTATGCCTTTTCTGGAAGAAACTTTAATACTGTAAATTTTGTTTCTTAATTGTTAAAATCGCATAATATTTTAGCTTCTAAAGGATATCGTTTAAAATTATTTTAAATAAACAGAATTAAATATTTATGCCTCTTGTAGAAGAACCTTTATATTGTAAATTTTGTTTCTTGATTTATAATAAAAATAGCACGATAATTTAGCATGTTAAAAGATATCATTTCAAGAATTTACAACGTTTTCCGAGATGTAGATCCATCTTGAATCATTTCTTTTGAGGAAGAACCCCCCCCCCCCCCAAAAAAAAAAAAAAAAAACAGGTGCCCGTCGCCGATAATTGTCATCATCCCGATAGGAGATGTGTTATTAATTAGTCAGCCCCAAAAATCCACGCAATTTACATAGAATATACAAAATGTATACAAGTTATATACACATTGCCCGGCTCCTCGAAACAACAGGTGAACTGGGTGTCCCAATTCGATTTCCACAAATTTATTGATTTTATATCATATATTTTCAACAAGACGCCGTGGTGAAATGGATAAAGTTACGGACTCTCCAGCGGGACGACACGGTTCGATCACGGCTTTCGGCACGAATTTTTTTTTTATTCGAAAATATATTAATTTAATACCATTATAATAAAAAAAAAAGTGAAATAAAATTTCTAAGTTAAAAAAATAAGCCTATTCAATAAAAAGATACAACTGAAAGATAACTGAAAGGTCACTGATTTGTATCTGCAATTCAGTCGACTGAATGGTAACTGAAAGACCACGGAGAAGTCACGGGAAAGGAACTTTTCAGTTACCTTTCAGTGGCCATTCAGTTACCATTCCGTCGACTGAATGGTGGAATTTCATCCTGTGAGTTACCGATAAAAAAAAAATCTGTGAACAGGGCATAAAACACATTACCCGAGAAATTCCAAAGGCGGGATCAGGTTCCTAGGAGGAGTAAGCATACCCTGTCAACAAGTCACACCCGCCGTGAGACCTATGTATTTATAATAGAAGACGAAATATTCCATAATCAAATTTAGTATAAAAACAAAGATCCAACAATTGGTATGGAATTTATCAGTCAAAATACGGCCCAATGGTAGATTATATTTGCTATCAAGGTCATTCTAACGATCGTAACGAAACACTGACTTTAAACAAGGTTGTTGAAATCCCTGTAACATCAACATATCTGTCAGTAGCTAGCCTCGGTTAAAAATTGATCGTGCTCAGAGCATGCTATTGAGTATCTAATAAGTTGGGGGACATAAACATCATACATGTATATGCAGATGATGGCGGAATATTACAACATTAATAAGGAAAGTTGATGATGGAAAAGTTGAAATGATCTTGTTTGTCACACAGTTACACAGAATCTGTACATTAAAATGCAATAGCTTCAAATTATCTAGACATATGTGCATTGTAACCTTAAAGATTTTATAAATAAGCGTGATTATTAAATGTCGTGGACATGTCACTATAATCATAGCAATATTTCATGGCTATTTACAAAAATGTATAATAAAGTAAATATATTGAATATATAAAATAGTCATCTAAAGTTCGTCCACTGTGTTTGGTTCTTGCTACTATGAAGATTGTTTAAAGTAATAAAATTTGTTCTTTAACAGAAATTTGAAATGAAAATTCAGTGTATCGAAAGTCATCATTTTTATTTTCCGTCTAGGCTTGTCCACAGTGTCTGGTTCCTGTTACTATAACTCGTATACTACATCCTACTCCTGTTACTACGACTACTATGATTACTACAATAACTACGATTACTACTACTACTACTATTACTCCTCCTATAGACTAAGGTAAGAAATGTGCCTTTTGCTTTCTTCCCGTGGTTTTGGTGAAAATTGTCTTAAAAACTTCAATGACAACAACCATTGTTATTAGTTAATATTTATATTATTATTTAATTAGCACTGGTTGGATATATAAAGATCCAATTGTCCACCTGTTGGATATTTAAATATCCACATGTACATAAAACACACAATAAGACAAGCTATAGATAAAGGAGGCAACTTAAACGTATTTCCAAATATGAAAACTTCGATTTTTTCACACTTTTGGAATCTTGTTAAATCTGTATTTCCAATGCACTTGAAAAATAATGATTTTTTCCGAATTTTCCACACTATCAAAAGCCTGTTAAAATGTTTTCAGAAAAGAAAAACAATATTTACTCCGGATTTGTACATTATAAAAATCTTTCAAAAGATATCGAATTGTATTTCAGCAGAAATGTTTCCTGTTTCGAATTTCGATACACGTAGATTAAGAGTCTTACACTTCACTTCTAGAAAAGCTTTCACATTTTTCTCATCGAACCTTTAACCACATCACTCTCTGCTCCTTTATTTCAGTTTCCATCGTCAAGAATCCCCTCAAATTATTGGTCATCATCTGTTACCTTACTTTTCCCACCCACTTTACAAATTAACCAATTGAATAAAGTGTACGTAGCTAATCTACATTTTGTCTCCGTTTTACTTGCAAATGTTGACTTGAAAATGCTTTCACGTTCAATATTTGAAGTAGGTTTTGCAAAACGCTGACATTCTTTTTCACATATTTAAAGTACATTAGAAATGTTGTCCGACTGGAACTCCATAATGTTTTAATCAGATTTCTTCAGCAAAAAATTATTTGATATGTGATGATAAATGTATAACTTCTTGTGGAAAGTCGGACATATCCTTTTGCTTCCAGATCAAAAGTATACAAAACACTATCAATATCTTTCCCTAAATCTTTCTAAATGTATTTTGGGTTTAGAAAGATTCTTCCTCTTGTTCCCTGTTTGCTCAGTAGGATGGAAAAGTTTGGTATGACATGAACACCGGTTTCATGATCACTTGTTCTTCTATAAAAGATGTCTTCGGTGAGACTGTTGTAAAATGTCACTGTTGGATACATGTATATGGATGGGCTAGGTGCTATTGTATTACTTCAAAGTTGGATATATATATATATATATATATATATATATATATATATATATATATATATATATATATATATATATATATATATATATATATATATATATATGGGTCATTGTTTCTTTAGAGTCCAATGTGGGAGCTTTTCTTAAAAGTAACTGAAAAATAAATAACTCGATAGTATTGAATACTTAGGAGAAAACATGTCTCCTTGGGCCTTCTGCTCTCCTTTCTCAAAACTATTCAACACTATCCCTTTATCTATCCATTAAATATCGTCAGTACCATGTTTTCAACCTTTTTGTAACAAATATGTTAAACACAGTGCTGGAGCAATCCTTGGGATCATATTTGGCGCCCTCGCTGGATTGGCCACGCTCATTGGACTTATCGTCTGTTTGTGTGTGTATGTATGCAAAAAAGCCACACCTAGACAGGGCACAGTTATCTACTATAATACCAATCCAAATGCAGGAACAACTGTCTTGCAAACTAACCAGACACGTGAGTGCAATTTATTAAAAAAATTAAAATTCATAGTCTTTGCAGCGTAATAATAAATCTGAAACCAAATTAATAGCTTTCTAAAACTAAAAAAAAGTTGTTTCAGAAAATCACAATTAAATACCTACGACACATGTACATGAAGAGCGATCTCTAAATATAGTTACAGCGCACATCTAAATGACTTTGATTATAAGGCGGATGTGTTCTTGTTAAAGCAAAATGCATGAAAGTCTACATTTATTTTATGTATATCATTTTAAAAAGCGCTTGGCGACCTCTTGGACATTCTTCGACTGATAAATCTATATACATATAGGTACCACTGCCTCTGTATTATATATGAGAAGGAAACTACAGAGGGAAAATAAGCAAAAAGATTGCACATTAATAAAACAGTATTTTGAAAAAATGTATATTTTGGATTACTAGGGTATATGTATGTTTTTAAACAGAAAAAAACTGTGTCTCATAACCACGTTTTGGGTGCTACATCCAAATGATTTCAATTTAATCGTGTCAGGTCAGATGCGCCACTATTTAACAATGACAATAATACACCAGAAAAAAAGAAGACATTTGTATGTCAAAATCAACTTATTAAAAAATAATATTTTTTTTCCCCTTAGATAAGGTTATATATATATATATATATATATATATATATATATATATATATATATATATATATATATATATATATATATATATATATATATATATATATATATATATATATATATTATATATATATATATATTTATATATATATTAGTTTGAAATCACAGTAACGAGGAAAACAATGTAAATGAAATTAAAAAAAAAATTACATGTACAGAAATTTTTAAAGTTCAGTTAATTAGTTAACTTTTTTTTTAACTTCATACTAGCATTATCCCTCTTTTAAATTGATATTTCATTACATTTTCGATATATAATGGAAAATCATGTACATATATATACAGCCATTCCAGGATTCGAACAAGATGAAGAAATCGCGATGAACGTTAAGCCTGTTTAACCACTAGACCGATCCGACACAATGTTATTCCATGGAATTCAACGTACACTTTTTGCATGTCGGAGAAATACATATTTTGAGACAGTAATTTGAAATGACAGTTTTGAAGAAAATTCTTAGCTCTTAATATTGATATAAAATTAATTCTGTTTCAAGGAGGCAATGTTTAATAACAATGGGGATTCTCTATTTAAATAGCTCAATATCAGTTATATTTTACTGTGTGACTAATTTACATTTCATTTAATCATAAAATTAATTTTCAAAGTAAAGCTTCCGGTTATAATTTCAACCTTATGTGGTATATATCGTCGTATCTGAAAAAAATGTTTTCTGTTTCTTTAAATTGTTCGTATTAAATAAAAAAAAAAATAACAAAGGAACTGCAGCTCCCTCTCTCTGGGTTTGCAAATAAGCTTTGAAAGTTTGAGATGTACAAGACAATGTAATGGCCATAGGGTCATCTTGCTATTTTTTTTTATTTTTAGCAATGCAGCCTTACATTCAGCAAGGGTTTTACTCACCTTATCCTGTTCAGATGCAGGCAACTGGACAAGGCGTAGCTGCCTCTTTTGCGTCACCTCCCCAGTACAGTCCGCCACAACAATCTACTGAAAATCAAGTTCCGCCACCGAAATAACATTTTCCTTAGTGTGCTGTTTCATCGACATTGAATAACACAGGTGAAAACTGATAAACAATCAGCTTTTAAGTATTTTTTTTAATTTTTATTTTCTGTGTTTGTTACTTCTTGTTGTTTACATCTTGGTTTGTTTCACTGACTGTTAAATACATTTTGTACAAACCGTTTATAAACTATATATGAACATTATTTAGTAATATGCAATTGACCAATACATTTATTATTTATATACAGTTATTATTTTGTATTCCAAATAAATACATGTGTATATGTTAGTGCATTGAGTTGTTTGGAACACTGAAAATAAAGATGTTAAAATTCAGGTAAATTTCTCATGTTCAGCACAAATGAAATAGAACACACGTCGACTGATAATTAGCAACAACAATTGAAATACCATAGAACATCTCTTATAAATTTTTATTCTGTTCATTTTTTTCCAAACCGCTCTAAGTTATGAGTTGAAGAATTTTATTCGATTTTATATTAATGATATTTAACGTATTTAATGTAATATTGAGACGACTTTGAATATTTTTTTTCATCTTTTTCCTCTGGCAAAGGCATTTATATCCTATTGCATATCTGACTATCTTTATTTTTCATTTCAAGTTGACAGCTTTAGCCTTCCGGAAGAAGCTACTTTAACTAAATTTTGTGATGTGTTATTCTTACAAGTAATATAAATTGTATATTGATTGGACAATGCTATCATTAGAAAGGGTTAAATGTCTTGTATCACATTCTCTACACGAGAAAAACTCATAAAAGTAGAGAGAAAGAAAAAAAAAACAACAACAAACTTTTGAGGAAATAACCGTACGCGATTCTTTTTTTATTATTATTATTATTATTTTTGACCTCCAGCATTAAATTTTGTTGGGTATAGCCTGCACCACTCAAGATTCAAATTTTTACTTCCGGGGATATTGTTGGGTCACTGGGAAGATTCAATATTGTTGGTTAAGGCCACAATAAGGGATTAAATATCAATATGGGGATAGCAAGAGAAAGTACTCATTTGCAGTGTAGTATCAATCTTTTAAAATATAACCCCCGACTGGTAGGGTGGCGCTTTATCAAAGGAATTTCATGGTAAATGAAAGCAATCAATCTTAAAAATGAAATAGAATTATGATACTTGTCTGATTATAATACACAAAATTTAAATATCATCAAATAACTCATGAATTTTTATTCTCTCCATTTTATCCTAACGACTCTAAGATGTTAGCTCAAGAATTTTATTCGATATTAAATTTGTGAGATTTAAAGTATTTAATATAATATCGAGAGCCAGTATTTCGAAAAGAGCTTTGAATATTTTTTTCTTTCTCATTCAGCCAAATCATTTTTATCCTATTGCATATCTGAATATCGTTATTTTTTATTTCAAAATCTACCGCTGTAGCCTTCCATAACATGCTACTATAACTTAATTTTGTGATATCTTATTTTTATCAGTGATATAAATTGTATCGCATTGGACATTGCTATCATTAGAAAGGGTAAAATTTTCTATACCACATTCTCTACATTGAGAGAAATTCATATTAGTAGACAAGCAGGAAAAAAAACTTGCGATGCAATAACCGTACGTTTTTTGACATATATATATATATATATATATATATATATATATATATATATATATATATATATATATATATATATATATATATATATATATATATAAATTCTTTTTACCTCAAGCATTAGATTTTGTTGGACCTAGGCTGCACTACTCAAGATACAAATCTTTACTTCCGGGAATATTGCTGGGTCACTAGGAATTTTCAGGTTTATAGGATAAGGCCACAATAAGGGATCACACATTAAGTTGGGGATATCAAGGGGAAATTCTGAAAAAAAACTTTTTAGTGATGAACAACAAGTGCATGATTACTCATATTTATATGTGCAGGTATCTTATGGCACTACAGTTTTCAAACCTTTTAAAATAATAGTCCCCGTCTTGTGGCTGGCGCCAAAATATGATATCAAATTATATTATGGCAATATAAAGCGATCAATTTTAAAAATCATCTTAAGACGAACAGCACTTCTATAATTAATCATATTGATATGAAAGCACATTTAGTTCAGATTAATTTACTTTGGTAAAAGACAAAAGAAAATATCAAAGACGAGGTAGTCCACATTAAATCATATTTATGTGTAAATATTTCTTATAAGTTTCAAAGTTTTCTTTTCATTTTCTTTATGACCGTATATTCCAAATGGGCTTAAACTGGGGAATTTATTTTACAAACAAAGTCATTTTTTAAGTGAAATGAAATGAAAAGGAAATGAGTATCAAAAAAGAAAGAAATCCTGATGAACAGTACAACCAATGTAACTCGAGTAGGCAGTGTGTCCTTTGGACTTGTGTTATTAAAGAAATAATTTTAAACAGTTGATTGGGTGATAACGTTCAATATACAACAGTATAGACCACAATAACATATAATTAAAGCTAAATACGATTTCCTAAAGTAGACACAAGTTGTATTTTGACATCGTGCTTATGTGATAAATTGATTTTTTGAATTTTTATCCTGGTGCCTTGAAACCTAACTTAAAAAATTAATTGGGAACTCTTTTTGTTAAAGCTTAAAATCAATTTCCTCCAAAAACAATATGTGAATATACAAGTACACGTAATATTTTTTCGAAATAATCCAAATTGAAAAAAAGGAAAAGAAAAATCGGAGAAAAAATATGCCTTAAAAATTACCGGAAAGTACGTTTGCAGAATTTATACACATTTAACGCATTTTGTTTTACTCATTAAAAATAGAATAAACATAATGGCGAATTGTTTACATATAAGGATTTTACTACACCTGTATCTTTTTTTACCACATTTGGATATCTTTTCTTTATTTGACAAAAATGATCTTGGTACTTAAGACAGTCGTACCATCTTCCAGGACTTCGATGATGTCAGAAACTAGTATCACAGATAAATAGCCTTTTACTTTTTTACTTCCGTTCTTCTATCTTTCCTTCATCTTTATTTAATTCGGCCATCTTTTCATTGGTTATTTCTTTATAATTATATTTTTTTTTCAGTTTCCTTCCTGATTAGAAGGAAGTAAGACAATCAAAATTTTGGTTAAAATTTTATTGTGGTTCGGATTTTACTAGTAATTTTTTTTTAAAGAGTTTCCCTTAATTACATTTTTTTTAAGGCGATTTCACTTTATAAATATATTGATATGCCATTAGTCATTTTTTTTTTATTACATATTAAAGCAATATGAAACTTAGACATAGAAATGAAAATTAGAAAATTTAAAAATTAGAATAGGACCTGTGTGAATAATGTAGTAAATCAATCTGGGGTTTACGAAGAGATCAGTGCCGACATATGAACACGTCATCAAAAAAGTATTAATGTGTTTATACAATATTAGGGAAGTAGTTGCTGTCTAAACGATAAACATTAAACCAATGTTATATGAAACAACTGATCGTATTCTAAATACCACTTGTTATTTCGAAAAAAAAAAAAAAAACGAAGTGCACATACTTCAAATTTAAAAAAAAATGGATACATGTATTGGTGTCAGTGTTTATTTTTAGACTATTGGGGTTTAAATGATGCACTTATCAAAACTCTACAATATCAATAAATTGTATACGTTCTATGATGAAAAATTCTTCCTTCCTGTCGTCACCCTTGAAAAGCTATTCACTTTTATACATCTTTTTTATCAATTCGAAAAATTTCAAATGGAAAAAGAATCTCTATATGTTTAACTTGTGCTCTTCTATACAACAATGCTATAAAGCCATATTTGCAATTTGACTTTGAATATGAAGCAAAAACAAATATGTGTTGATTATTTTTTTACCAAATTGTTATTTTTTTTGTTTTAGAAAAGTCGCTTTCCTTCATGTATATACTAGTATAATACTTTTCATACCATTTCACCAGAGGTCTCTATTTCTCGGAGGTCAAATGTATTATTTTTTAACTTTACTTTAGGATTTGAATACCTCCATAAATTTACAGCAAGAGGGGGGGGGGGGGTCAAGACCAACCTTACCCCAATCCCGGCCGTCCCATCTAACATCTACATGTTATGACATATTTACATAGCAGTAAAAAGAATTCATAACTTTTGAGAGAATTCTAAAACTATTTTCTTTGAATGTGTAATTGTGAAAAAATGACTTCTTCTTGTTTACAAATGAACCAACATTACGTTCATTGACAGTGGACACAGAAACCCTAAATTACATTAACTAAGTAAGTGTAGCCAAACCAAAGGGAAACAAATCCAGGAAGCCTCTACCTTTTTTTTCTTCAGCAGTTTCAAAGAAATTATAAGAACAGGAAATTACCAGATTCTGGGAAGTATCATTTTCTCAAGTCCATTGAATTAAAATTATAGACAAACTGCTTGTTTAAGCGATATCTTAGATTTTTGCAATTATTGCAAGGTCTTCCAACTATACATTTGACATTTTTTCAGATATTTTTTAATTCAAAATTCTACCTCCGTCTCCCCAATATCAATGATTAATAATTGGCGGAAAAAGTAGTATGTTTTATCGCCAAAGAGCATCTTTTTGACATAAGAGGAATTTATGAAAAGATAAATTTAAATACAAAGCTAACGTAGCTGCGTCAGTTGCGCTATCTCTAAATCTAAAATAAAGAAAGTGGAAATGTCATTAGGAATTGTATTTGAAAACCAAAGGCAAGACTGAGTTAAATCTACAATGGAGTGGACAATATTTACTCTTTTCTTCGCTCAGATTCTAGGTAAGAAAATTTCAGTGAAAGTTAGGGCTAAACAATGAGAGTTGTAGGAATTTATTTCGTGCGATCAGTAAGGCATTAAGAGTACTTGTCAGGTACAAGAAATGATACCTGTTTTACCTGTAAAGGTATTTTAATGGGACATATTTTTCTACTAAGCTTGAAAACGTAATGAATCTCTTCATCAAAAATAAAAGTGGATTCGCGAATTTAGGATGTCTTTAGGTGGAAGTTTTTATAAAGTATAAATCATTATCGATTTATGTCCTGAAAGTTCAATAGTATATATTTACATTTGCTGTGTTTTTCTTCTAAGCCAACTGTGAAATTGATTTGAAAACCATTTTTGTGCATACTCACACGTAGAAATATACATGGCGAAACTCGCGCTAAAGTGACGTCACAATGAGGCTACAGAGATGGTAATAAAAATATGACGATATAGGCCAGCGAGAAATCCACACATTGAGTATATTTTTAGTGCATTTAAACATAAAAATA